TCGAGCTCTAGCTGCCTGGACCTGGAACAGACGTGAAACCCGACTCAAAAACATCCCGGTACGCAGGCAAACGTTAAAATGCACTTAGTTGGCTATCACGTGATGGGGAAAGTACGGTGTCTCTACTGTCATATGACTATAAACGCTTAAATAGCCAGTTCTTATTTTACCGCACCTATAACGATTACTCCAGTTTATTGAAATTATCATTTTAATTCAATTTTCTGTGTGTTTTCCTTGATTCTATGTAAGTCAATTGTAGTAGTGTATATAATGTGTTTTATCGCTCATCAGAAACGAAGCCCTTGTGGTCTTTAAAAGTGCTACGGCAGACAATGGTGTCTGGGATCACTAAGAGCTTCAAATCAGAGGGACGAATCGCACGTGTAACCCAGGCTTTGTTGAATAACACACCTACCCTTTATCTCCTAAGGGTAACTTTGGACAAAACTAAGCTGGAGCTGGACAGAAAATGTACAAGAAATAACCATGGGGAGCTTTCAATCAGGTCTTAAAAGTTACCGAAAGAATAAATCTAGGGTCCAGAAAGCGTATAGTAAAAACTAAAGTTTCACAAACGTAAGGCAAAACGACGAAGCAGTGAATAAAAACACTTCTTTTCTTTGTTCAGAATGAAAACTAAACAGCGGACAAAGGTTGAAATTACAATAGGACATCACAAAGTAAAAAAAAAACATCAGCAAAGGAATGCTTTTAGATTCTCCAGTTTCTTTTTGAAGGTCCTGCTGTAGCAATCTTACCATGGTCATTGTAATTGCTATTAGGTCTAAATATTTCAAATCAAAAGTTATGGGTGGTATGGTGGTGTGATGTATAGCAAAGCACTGGGGCCCTAGGTTCAATTTCTAGGGTGGTATCTGTGTGGCGTTTACAGTATGCTCCCTCTGTTCATGTGTTTTCCCTCCAGGTGCTCCGATTTCCTCCAGCTGTCCAAAGACCTGCTGGTGGGTTGATTGGCTTCTGTTAAATTTGCCCTGGTGTGAGTTTCAAACCCAACCCATGTCTCCAGGTTTCCATTTGTAATTACTTTTCAAAATGTTTGTTTTTCAGCTTGAAGTTGTGTGTTTAATTGTGCAAAGATTAAACCAGAATTTATTTTACATGTCCTTATATCAGGCTATAAGGCCACAAAATGTGTTACTTTGGAAAAGTGCAGACTTTCACTTAGAACTGAATCTGGAAGTGCATTTAAAATAAAGAGAGGAGGCTCTTTGTTACACATGAGGTCATAATATACAGTATTGCATGCTGTTTTTAACAGATGACCATTAATAGTCGACACATCCACCCTTAACCTACCATTTTGTCAGAGGATGGGGCTACGCTGAAGTACTTCAAGTTAATGACTTGAAGTGAATATGAAGTGAATCATTGGTTTTCAAAAAAAGAAAAAGAAGGGTAAGGGGGTGAAGGTAACAGAGAATTAAAAGTTTAATTGTGGCAAAACATTATTAATTTTAGCTACTTGCAAGGACAGACAGTAAAGACCATCTTTTCTTATCCTGTATATTAAGTATATAATTAACATTATTATGCTTAAACAGCAGTGCTGGTACGTAAGTGTACAATAAGCTGGGATTGTTGATAGGCGCTCAGATAAACTATGTGGCATCAGGACTGATTTTGTTTAACTGCTTATGTTGCAGGTGGTGCAGTGGTTAGCATTGATGCATTGCAGTGCTGAGGTCCCGGGTTCAATTCTAGGCCTCGTGTGCTGTCTGTGTGGAGTTTTCATGTTCTCCCAGTGCTCTTGTGTGTTTCCTCCCACAGTCCACAAATGTACTGATAGGTTAATTGACTCCTGGTCTGAGTATTTGTGTACTGAGTAATATGTAATTAAGTAATATGTGCCTTGATGGACTTCTGTCCCGTACAATCATCTACTTCGTGATAATATCGTAATTATGATCTTCTCTGTGATAATAGTTCTTTTAACAAGTACCATGAATAAGAAATCAGTAAACACTTTGAAGAAGTAGAATTTATCATTCAAAAACTTTAATTTGCTTATTTTTTAAATGTATAGATGAGAGGAAAATGCAGAACAGTTTTCACTAAAAACCCTTAATAAACTTCCAAAGTTTATTTGGAAAATAAACTTAATTTGAATGACATTTATTTAGAACAACAGACCATTACTTAAATTGAATTTTTTTTTTGTAAGAGACACTTTTAGACCATTTTTCAGATTGCCAAGGACATATAGTGACAACAATACTAATTCTTGGCAAAAGTCAGTTTTCATGATGTATACAGTAAATGTGGTTAGAATGAGAATAAAGTCAGTCCTAGACAATTTATCATGTGAAGAAAAAAGTATAATCTCTAATGTTTTTTTTTTCATTTTGTAGATACTCTCTTTAATAATTAGATACAAAACACTGCTCATAAATTTAAATCATGCTATAGATTTGCTATAGATTAGATTTGTCCAAGACTGGGTTATTTTTAGCATCACAATCTCCATTTATTATTATAAAATGGTATTGGGAGAAATGTATGTAATTTAAATCTAGTGCATTAATGGCATAAACCAAAGCAAAAGCAAATTTGATGCCATTGAATACACAGTGTATATATAAAATGTCCACATCTGTTTGCCTTAGGTCTGTACAGCACTAATTAAGTCACTTAGTTTTGTTTGTAGCAGAAGAATATGCTGAAGCCTGGACGTACATGTCTTTATAGTTAAGGTGTGATAATTGTATTAAGGCAAATGATGTCCTTTTACAATGTAAAAACATCCAAATATTTAGTACCATTATGGAATTTCAGTCTTGGACTTTGCAATTAATATTTTCCATTATTGTGCCTTGAAATAGTAGATTAAAGATATTATAAAATCTATTATTTCAATGCACCAATCAACTTGTGTCTATTAACCAGATCTTAGTATAAACATAATTTCCCCAATTCTCTCTTAAGTGGACCTTTATCAAAAGTGATCTGAAAGTAGTTATTCACCCAACTGTTAACTACAATTGTCTGCTATGAACCTGAATGTGACCGATACAGGACCCTCACTGTCTAGCAAGATGAGCAGGTATTCTCTTGGGAGATACCCTGCTGTGTACTGCAAAATCCAGTCACAGTCAGCTTCCTTCAACGCTCTTGTGTTGCTTCATCTTTTGGAACGGTGAACAAGATGATTGAATTTCTGTTGTAGCGTTAATTTGCCACAGGCACCGAAATATTATATTGCTGCCATCTTGAACATTTAATGCCATTTTGTACAAAATGACAGTATCAGTTCTCTTCTGGTTCACAATATTTTAGACACAGAAGAGAAAAGGACCACTTACCAGGCTCCCAGAGATTGAAATAAAAAAACATCAAGGATTTAATGTTGCCTTATCCAAACATTTTTCCTTACTTTTTGTTTAACCACTTCTGACACGTGTGGAAATGAGCAACTTGTGGGGAAGGAGGCAATGCATAAGGCAGAAAATCTGCAGTACAAATATATTTGGCAATTGCTTCATTTTGAGGAAAATAAGTGAATTTTATCAATTTCTATATGGTTTTAGAATTACATTTAACACTTTGCTCCTTGCAGTTTTAAGATCATTCAGTGTTCTTTATCATGCTTCTTTTATGCCAATTTTTCAATGTATGTCATTTTGTTTTCATCCTCTCAAAGGATTACATTTTCCCTTAAACACCTTTCTTCCTCTTTTACAGCTGTTGTGCTCTTTTACTGAGAAACATTTGAACACCTACTGCAATCCTCTTCCCTCCCCTGAACTCTTCTCACACCTTTTCTGACTTTCATGCTTTATTAATATAACATTGAAAAGAAAAGTAATAAAGGCCACAGGACAAAAAATCCAAATCCATGCTAGAATGAAAAAAATATTTCTTTTCCACACTTTAATTGTAATTTGCATAATGTGCACATTTGTTCACAGTAACTGCCATGGGGAGTGGAATTTTCTCCAGAGATGTCCTAAGACCACTGAAGTCCTTCTGTCCACCCAAATGATCTTTTTGTTACTAATACTTCAACAATATTAGGCAGTTACTCAAATAAATGTTTATTTCTAATGTCTTCAAATCATTCTGATACAGAATACAACAGACAGAGAGGCCAGCTCACAATGGGCACTGTTTCTCTCACTTGGTCTCACCTTTTCTTTCCATCCATTTTATTCTTAACTAAAAAACTGAAATGCGAAGTATAATGCTTGGAGAGGGTGAGACCTCCTGCTATTTCCCCAAACCACCTATACACCATCTGTAAAAACTGTGTTTTACACTGAATGTATAATGTAGTCAGTGTGTCACTATTCACCGGTCAGTCTGCGCATCAGTGTTCAGTGCAGTATTGTTCAGCAGTTCCACCAGCAGTGCTATGAGCTCAGTATATTGCATCTTTATGTTGGGAGGCAGTGAGCAGGGCTCCCCCTGCAGGCAGTGCTGCACCATGGCATGCAGGGATAAGCGCAGGCCATGCAGAAGCTCCCAGCTCTGCAGCGACACTTCACAGCGGACCAGAGATGAGCCTGCCAGAGACACTTCCACACTGTCCTCCGCCACTGCAGACAGGGAGAGAGAAAGTGACAGAGAGAGGGATCAGCACAGAGATGGGGCAGGGCGGTGTTAATGGGGAGAGGTGGGGAGAGCAAGACACTGTACCTCGCTCAGTTATGTGCCCGTCAGCCAGCAGCAGCAGGGAAAGGGGGTGCACTGTGGAAGAGTCTCTGATGAAGACATTGCCATTGGATTTGACAGCTGTGAAGAAGGTGAGCCAGCGGGTGGGGAAGTCCTCCGCATTCCTGTAGAAAGGGACCAACAGAGCTGACAGGATATAGATCACAAGTAACACTACCTATGAAATACGATCCTAAAATATAAGCAACCACGACCCTTTACAACTGCTCCTTAACCAACATGTGATTATTATTACTGCTAAGAAACTAAGAGATTATTTTAGACATTAAACTTGAGGAAAAATGAGCAAATGCAAAAAGCATACAGGGGCTGTGCACGCAAGCTGTGTGAGGAGCCCCCTTTCACAACAACATTGCAGGTTACAAATCATATGGAATTACAAAGATTTATGACCTTTTTCAGCTAAACCAAAAACGTCTGCATACTGCTGGTTTCACCTCAGCTAGTAATATTCAGACCTCGACTGATAATTATAGACCAGTAAGTATTTTGACCACATAATCAGAAAGGAAATGGGTCTCTAGGTGCATCTGCAATACCAAATTACACCTATGGTTATTAAGGTTATTCATAGCAGATTTTGCACTACTATATTGGAGCATCGTAGTACAGTTTGGTTTCAGAAACTGTTAAGCACCACATTTTCCATAAGTTGAATTTCGCTCATGAGCTGTACACACAATTAAAGTTTTACAGTGCAGTGGTAGAAGGATCCTGTCCTATTCTATTCACTACTTACTGTAGCATGCATCAGCACATTTTATAATACAATAAATACACTGTATTCCACAATAAAATGAAAAAAAACATCAGATCAAACTGATTCTGTATGAATAAACAGACTCATGGATTAAATGGTAAGTGGCTTGGTGGCACAGTGGTTAGCATTGCTTCTTCACAGCGCTTGGGCCCTGGGTTCAGTTCCTGGGGTGCTATCCGCTTGGAGCTTGAACAGTATGTTCTCCCAATGATCAAGTGGATTATTTCTGGATATTCTGGTTTCGTCCCACAGTACAAAAACAAACTGGTAGGTTGACTGACTTCTGGGAAAACTGGCCCTAGTTGTGTCTGTATGTGCCTATTCTGCGATTGACTGGTGCCCTGTTTGGGCTGTACCCTGTCTAATGCCCACTGCCTGCCAGGATAGGCTTTGGACCCTGAAATGGAAGAAGTGGTTAGAATATGGATGGATGTTGCGATGGAGTAGGGAGTTACACATAAGTACACATAAAAAACACATGACATCAAATTTGCGCAAGTCTAGTGTCACTTGGAAAATGCCTATAATAACATTAATGATTAATTCTGAAATTGAAAGTTACAAATAATAATTAGTTTCTGTGTAGTCTGTACATTTCATGTGCCACATTAACTCTTTTTTAAAAAAGAAATGAAAATCTTGAAGTAATTTGGGTACACTGCTGTTACTCTGCTCAAGTGAAGAAATACAAGTTTACGTTACTGCTGCCTAACAAAATATAGTTTGTAATGGCTTAAAACTATAAGCCTTACTTTTTGCATTATATTCTGCCAACACAGGAAGAGCCAGAAATACCACTGCATCTGCCACTGACTCCTATCCCACCATCCCTACTCCACCTCAATGAAGCCTGACACACTGCAAAAGCAGGCCAGATTCAAGACAGGTAAAATCAATACACTGTCAGATTTTAAAGAAGCCGACATTAGATTTATAAAAAAAGTAAACTGCATTGTAAGGCCCCCCTCACTAGTTCTCAAATTTCCTGCTTCAAAGATTTGGTCCTCGCAGATACAGCGACACCTGCACACGTGTACACACACTCACACACTGCAGTTTTCCGCTTGGCTGCTCCTGCCAGGACAGGAAGCCCCCCTTGCCAGACAGCCCTGTGGACTCACCTGTTGACTGAGGAGCGGTGCAGCAGCACAGGGCCACTGCGTGACCGCAGGACCAGGCTGTTGGGTCTGAACTTGCCCTGCTTCGTCACCTTGCCTTTCCGCACCTGCCGCAGGAAACACAGTGACAACTGTGTGTCAACATACCTGCGTGAGACACACTTGTGCAAGGCCAAGGGGAGTGTGGGATACACCTGTGTAAGGTTGGGGGGAGTGTGGAATAGTTGCGTGAGATACATCTGTGTTGGAGTGAGGGAAATGGGGGATACCTGGGTGAGATACACCTGTGTTGGGGTGAAGGGAGTGGGAGATAACTGCATGAGATACACCTGTGTAAGGCTGGGGGGGAGATACCTGGATGAGATATACCTGTATAAGATTGGGGTAGAGCCCAGCCAGCAGCACGGCCTTGACCAGCTCATCCTCCTTGCTGTACTGGTTATACTGGGAGGAAAGCTGAACACATTCTGAGGGGTGTGACACCATAAAGGCATCATACAGATTCTCACTGAACTGCTGAATCAACCCTGAGGGGGAGAAAGGGAAGAAGAGAGAGAATGAGACAATATAATTTTCCAAATGCTAAAACAGACAAATAAGAAAGATTTGAGCGCCAAAATATTTAAGACCCAAAAACTAACAAATATCCAAATCCTAAACTGTTCTTTTACATCTTTCTTTGCTCCTGTATCTCTGCTCCTGCTGTCCTGATGTCTGCACCACTCTCTGCCTTGTCTCTTGATCCATGCTGTGACTGACACACCTTTAGTAAGGTGATCTGCACACATAAAAACCCAGGTAGACTAGTTAAAGGTGCAAGAGGCTTTATTTTGATATTTTAGCAGATTTTTAGAAAAAAATATTCTCAGAGATGCCCCCTTCTCTACTTCAGAAACTCCACGGTCACCCCAGACTGTTTCCTATCCCAGCCACCCACAACAGCAGGAAACCTTTTTATAACCTAACAAACCACAAACCACTGTTATTACATCAATGTGAAAAAAAGCATATTTTCACACTTCATAACACTGTGACTAATCACTTATTGAAATTATTTACAAACACCAGAGTTCTTCATCAGCCTCCACTGTCATTACAGTTTCTCCACAGACCAGACTACCAAAACAGACATTTGAGTCTGTGTACAGAGAATGCACAACCTCCAGATACTGTGTTATAAACGCTCTTTCTGCTCCTCTCTCACCCTGAATAAACCTCAGGCTGTTTTGGGACAGTGAATATTCTTCCAGGTACTGCCGTCTGGCCACAGGGCTCCTCTCCTGCAGTGCTGCTCTCCATCCTTGTACTGCGCGGCTGAATCCCAGGTGGTCACTGCAGCTGGACCCACTGAGGACTGCCTTTGCCTGAACACAGAGAAACATGCAAGACAACAGAGAAGCATGTGTGTCCTGCTTCTTTATTGTTTTTGTATAATATTTCCTTAAATTAAGAAAAGCCCTTTTTCTTTAAACCTTCTACCATCTGTGACAAGGCAGCCTTAAGAGAGAGGGCCACAGACGTAGAGATATTCAGCAAAGTGACAGGCAGAGATAAACATGGGCATGCAGTCGGCCAGCAGTGTGATGGACATGTAGAGACAGACTGGCACACCTGTGTAACTTGTGCCCTGTGCACCAGGCTGCTAGTGAAGGGGTCCCGAGTGAGGCAGGCGGTGATAGACAGTAGGGGCAAAAGGCACCGGAACAGTGACCCCAAGACCAGGGCCTTGCCCAGCCGTGGGTCAGAAGAGATATGGGCCAGGCGCTGACCCAGAGGTGTCAGACACTCTGAACCGTCCAACACTCCTAAAGAGAAAAGGAGAAAAAAGGGTCAGATAAGGTTTGTCCGAGAGGCCACAGCTGAGGGCTGTTACTACCGTGATAGTCCTCTCTGTATAAACTGGTGTCTTTAGTAGGTCTGTGAAGGCGGAAGGAGCTTGGGGAGAGTTTCATTCCAGGGCTCTGAGGAAGAGCCAATTACAGTCTTACTAGCAGCAGAAACGCTGATGACCTAGACAGAAGGCGACTATGAGCCAGATAAAAAGGCAATGAACCATAGAGACAAATGACATTATTGAGCAGCAGAGCTGCTGACAGTCACAGGACTGAGATGAGACTTTCTTTTTCTCCTTTATGGTTTGTTTTTTTCAGGAAGAACCTGATTTCTTCTTTTCATTCTCCCCTCAAATAAAAAGAGCTTTGCCACACCAGTTTTCTTCCAATCTAAGACTCACTGTTTTGTTACTAGTCTGGCCTGTAACAGGTGGTAAAGCAGAACAGATGGACAAACGATGAGAAGCAAGTCAAAGCGGTAGAATGTAGAAGCAGAGTTCCCAAGATATTTCAAAACTAAACTTGATGCTGTGATGGAATCACTTATGGTATAAAAACAAATGAATATAAATGGACTTAATAGTCTGCTTGTGTCAGATAACCATTATAATGTTATATAAATCCTAAATTACATCCAAACTGAAAAAAGCTACCTGAAGTCGACAATTAAACTAATTAAATCTTAACTTAAAAGTCTATTATTGAAACCCTACTCACCTCAATGAACCCTTTAAATGAAGCCCCTATTAAATTTGTTAATAAATCCCTGGTGACGCACTATTTAAATTTTAGAAACAAAGGCTTTAATTAAACTTCTAATTTCTTCCCTATCGATCACTCTTGCATTGATTGTCTCACCAATCTCTCGCAGGTTTTCAACAGCCTCCTCCACAGCTGCCCTGCCAGGGCTGTCCAGAGCCTGGGACAGGAACTCCACTGCCTGCGAGATACAACGGAATGATGACGTTGGTGACAGAATAAGACAAATTACCTGAAAGATGGGCAGAATCACCTAAACAATTCCATTCCAGAGAGAGGACCAGGTGCTGGATATTTCCAGCTTCTTGCTTCACAGTTGAGTAAATGCAAAGTCAAAAAATCATATGCCTACTTTCATTAATTAATTATAAGCAACCACCTGCTTTTTTCCCACTTGTCTTTTTCCCCACAGAAACTGCGATCTCTATTCCTATTCCTCCTCACCTCTCTCAATCTCTATGACTCTACTCTCTCTCAACCCCCACCTCCCACTGGTCCCTCCTGCCCCACATCCTGTCTCTCTCCCCAGTCCCGCTCACCCTGCTGTGTGGGCTGTGTATCTTGGACTGTACCACGAGGTTCTCCAAAGGAGTGCGCAGGATCTCTGGGACAGGGAAGTGCTCCATTGTGTCAAAGTACTGCCTTGGGAACAAGTGGTAGGCGTGGCCCGGTTGGCATCGCCCTGCCCTCCCACGTCGCTGTATGACGTTGGAGCGAGAGACCCACACTGTGTCTAGACAGGAGACCTTAGAGAAAGCAGGAAAGACAGTATAGAAAGAGATGGAGTAAAGGGAGGGACAAGAGGGAGTGGTTTTAAGATGTTTTCCAGAAGTCAATCTTAGTGTCAACGTGGCTGGTTTTTCTGTTAATCTATCCATACTTTGGTGCGCAGGTCATAGCGTTGCTCCTTATGGAAGCCAGTGTCAACCACATGGACAATATCATCGACGGTGATGGACGTCTCAGCAATGTTGGTTGCCAGAACAATCTTGCGCTGCCCAGCTGGTGGCCGCTGGAATATGGCCCGCTGGTCCATCACTGGGAGGTTGGAGTGCACTGTGGTGGAAATACAATGAGATGCAACTATCATTCAAAAGTCTCGTTTCTTTGGTTGCTCAGTGGGATAATCCTCAGAGCAATGTTTGACACTAAATGGCGCTGGAAAAATGTTGCCCTTTTCTCCTGAATCACCAAGCTCAACTCCTCCACCAGCCCCAAAGCCCAGAACACTGTGGTTTTGGGAGCTTACTTTTTTATCACACACAGAGTACCCTGAGAGACAAGCAAGCCTAGTGAAGAGAAGGTTTGTAATTTTAATAACAATATAAAATAGCTGAACATTTTTGTTCTGTAGTATGCTTAACTGAGAGAACATAAAGTTTGCAAATCAGTGTAGATCTTTGGTCTACCTAAGTTTACATAATTCAATTGATTGTTAGTAGATAATTGACCTGAAGATCTTATCCAGTTGTTTCTTGAAAGAAAGCAGGGCATTATATTTAACAAACTCCTACAACCCATTATGCAAAAATATATTCCGTCTTCTGTCTTCCCCTTTAAAATACACTTCTGCTTAGTTTCCACTTGTGTCTTCTGGATCAAATTTTCCCAGTGAAGAAGTCCAGTGTGTTAATTTTGTCAATGCCTTTGAGGTTTGCAAGAACAAAAAAGATCCAGTGTATTCAGCCTGTCAGTGCAGGCTGTTCTTTTAAGCCCCAGAATGTAGGGGTGTGGTTAGTTTTCTGTGGACATATTCGGAGCAGCAATATCATATTGGAAATGTGGAAATTTAAGTACATATTATGATTCCTCTGACTAGGCCAAAGTATCAAAACCTGCATCAGAACACAAATAATACCCATAATCCATTGCTTCATCCTCACCAGGCAGGATGATCTGTCTTCCCCCTTGGAAGGTTGGTTTCTCTTCCAGCCTCTGCTGCACCCCTCGGATGTCCTGCCACCCAGGGAGGAAACACAGCACTGCGCCTGAGCAGATAAGAATGGGAGAATGGAGAGGAGAAGGACAACTAACGCAGGATAGAGCAAGTGAGGTTTTGCAAAACAGTGACAGTGGCAGTGACAGTGAGTTAGTGCAGGACAGGCAGGAAGAGGCAGGAGGTACAGAGGCACTCACCTGGCTCTCCGTGCTGGTCAATGTGCTCTATGACATCAGCCACAAGGTCAAGGTCTGGAGTTGGGTCCTCTCTCTGAAACACACAGACAAGCATAGCTAAGGTTCTGTAGTGATCAGAAACCAAAATACTAAGAGCAACTTTCCCACCCTTTTGGGCACTTGTAGGCTTGCGGAGCTGTCAGTGAGGGATCCCCAGTCAGCCTTGAACCTAGAGTACTATGTAGGCTATGTAGGCGGGAGGTGGGAGTCTGTTTACACTTCATGTGTTTACCTTATGTGTTCTCATTTCCCTGTGTGCGGTTGCAGGGTTCATAGCTATGAGCCAAGGTGTGGAAAAACACACAACTGGCATTCTCAAATCGATTGGTTTAAAAGATGTTAGCGATTCAACAATCAAAAATATATACATTATATATGCTGTTGCATACCGATATGTTCATTCCTCAATTTCAAATGTTTTTACTGTTCTTTTCGCTTTTTGAGTCATTTTATGAGAGAAAGCACAAGACAAACCAAACCACACTCCACTTCCATGAAAACTAGTCAAAAAGGACAAAAGAGACTACACAATTGCATATACACAAGCCAGTGAAGCTCAACTTCAGACTACAAATTCCAAAGTTTTTCATTAATTTTTCATTTTGACTGTTGGTTTCTAGTAAATAAAGTACTTTACTTAGAATTTTAGCCGTGTTTGTTGTAATTGCCCTAAACCAAGTCATGTTAATTTTATATTTACTGTACAAAAGATTTAAAGCTCTAGGTTAATTAAACACATATGAATACCAGGCTGTAGAAGCACTGGATTAAGTTAAAGACTAAGACACACACATGTACTGCATTCTTTGTCGATTGTATTACTTTAAGGATCAGAGGCTTTTCTGGTTTCTGCTCACCTTCAGCTCTGAATTATCTGATTAAATGGACAGTCAGAGACCAATAAAAGCTTGAGGACAAGACTGTACAGTAGGAACATTCCAAATAAATGATACAGAAATCAGCATCAGAGCTTTCTGAAGACCCCCATGTTTCTCACCATTGTGTCAGGAGAGGGGGGAGGGCGCCCCATCTCCCGAAGGACCTCCTCCAGGAACCTCTCCTGGACTGGGTGCATGAACCCGGGCACGTGGACGACCTCACAGCCACCGAAGTACTGTGCCAGGCGCTCGGTGTCACCTGTGGCGCTCATGAGCACCACGCGCAGCTTGGGGTTCTCCCGCAGGGCGCTCCGCAGCAGCACCAGCAGCAGGTCGGTGTTGACGTCACGCTCGTGCACCTCGTCCACGATCACGTGGCTGACTCCCTGCAGCCCCCCGTTCCCCTGCAGCTTCCGCAGCAGCACCCCCACCGTCAGGAACAGCAGTGCCCCCCCGCTGCGAGAAGGGGGGCGGCTCTCCAGCCGCACCTGCGGAGGGGAGAAACAGAGGCACACGGAGGCGAAGACGATTTAATCATTTAATAATAACAATTAATAATTGCTTACACTTATATAGTGCTTTTTCTGGATACTCCACTCAAAGCGCTTTACAGGTAATGGGGACTCCCCTCCACCACCACCAATGTGCAGCATCCACCTGGATGATGCGACGGCAGCCATAGTGCACCAGAACGCTCACCACACATCAGATATCAGTGGGGAGAATAGCAGAGTAATGTAGCCAATTCATAGATGGCGATTACCCCTTGGCCCTTAGCATGATTGGTCAGGATTGGAAATTTGGTCAGGACGCCCGGGTTACACCCCTACTCTTTTCGAGGGATTTTTAATGTCCAGAGAGAGTCAGGACCTCGGTTTTACATCTTATCCGAAGGACGGCGCCTTTTTACAGTATAGTGTCCCCATCACTATACTGAGGCATTAGGACCCACGTGGACTGCATAGTGAGCGCACCCTACTGGCCCCACTAACACCTCTTCCAGCAGCAACCTTAGGTTTTCCCAGGAGGTCTCCTATCCAGGTACTGACCAGGCTCACACCTGCTTAGCTTCAGTGGATTGCCAGTTGTGAGTTGCAGAATGATATGGCTTTTGAGGAACTTTCATTCTTTCGTGGGTCATGGTCAATTAGGCATTCAAAGAAAAGTGCCCAGGAACTGGCAGTACTGGGTTAGCTCTTGTTCTGCTGCTGCTTGTTCCGAGTCCTAAAAACAATCGAGCCTGAGTTCGAGTTTGCACATCAGCAAAGCTTTTTATCAGTTTTTTGGTCTGGTTGTCATTTCTATTACATAAAATAGGTGAAGGAGACAACTACAGAAAAAGAGCCTAAGCTACATGGCTGAAGGACAGAAAAATGCAAGGAAGACCAGACAGTTAGCTCGACATACAACTAGATTCTATTTGTAAGGTGAACCTTCTACTGTTGAGTTTAGCTATGACACGGACCAGTAGCAGAAAGATTGTGGGCTAGACCCCCAGAGGTACGTCCTCTAGTCTAGATGAAAAGGTAAAAGATAAGGCTTGCTAGCCCAGCTCTGCCCCAGACTCATGTCTCACTCTGTGCTCTCGTGGATGCAAGTCTCTGCTAATTGCTCTGGATACAATTCACCTACTAGACGGCTAATTATTATGTAGTGGGAGAAGGAGTCTATTGATTGCCATGGAGAGAAGATTAGATTGTACCGGACAGAAAGGTCTCAATGTCTGATAGTTGCTAGAGCTATTACAAAGAAAGGGGATAGAAGGAGCACATAATCCACATATCCGAATGTATCAATGCCCTGCTGACAAACAGTCCCGCAGTGTTATATCAGTCTGGCAGTGTGTAGTACCGGGTAATATACCCCCTATGTAGTGTAGTGTGTCAGTACATGGCAACCCACACAATGTGTCATGTTAGTGTGTCAGTACCTGGTATCCAACACAGTGCCTCAGGGCTGGCCCCAGCGCCTGTGCCACAGTCTGCGCCACAGAAACAGCACTGATCCTGCGTGGCTGAGTGACCAGGATATTGCAGTGTGCCCCCTGGCCAGCATGTATGCGGTTCTCCAGCAGGAAGCAGGGGATGCGCGTGGTCTTGCCACAGCCAGTCTCCCCAGCAATCACAGTGACGCGCCCCCCTTCGACCACCGACACCAGACGGTCGCGGTGAGCATCCACGGGCAGCTCCTGGCCTCTCCAAGGACCCGGTGCAGCCCACAGCTGTCGCAGGGCCTCGCTCCAACGCTCTGCCTCGTCAGGAGGCAGGGGGGTGTAGGGTTGCCCTGTGATTGCGTCCATCAACATCCCCTGCTCCCTCTCCACTTCATCCCTCTCTTCCTCCTCATTTAACTCACACAGCCTCTGCTCCTCCTTATCCACAGGGTACTAGAAAATAAAATACGAGCAGGACAATGAGAAGTAGGCTAACGAGAAGGCAGAATGAAAGAAGGCTATTTTGCTATCTACCTTTGACCTATGGAGACACTGATTCTAAGGACTAAACAGACTTTATGAGAGACATACTGTAGATCATACTACATTTGATTAAAAATATATACAGTATATGAGACACAATGGCCAAAAAATGCTGTAGATTTCTTATACAACAACTGGGAACGTGTTAAAGCGGGTCTCCATAGAAACAATTTTCTCTTGACTTAAATAATTCATAGTATAAATATATCCTACAAGTAAACTGCTAGGGTGGATTTCATAGTTCAAACTTTCAGAACAAACCATGTAAAATGGCAACTTGCTCTGCTATTAATTTGTTTCATAGCATTTTTGTTGTATATAGGAATTTTAACAACAGAAAAACCTTCCTACATAACCAAATACAAATAGTCGTATCAAAATACAAACTATCATCCAATAGAAAACTCTGTACAGCACTATAGAGTGCTGTAGCTCTAATAATGTAATAAAGGTGGACTGTAATGTATGCACCTGTAAGTCAGCGATGATATTTATACCCAATAATGTAGATGCTGGTATTTGCTAACCATACTAAAATATTAGGATAAGCAAACAGTGGGGAAGTAGTAAAGGAAATTAAAAAAGATTTAGATAAAATTCAAGACTGGGAAAACACCTTGCAGATAATATTTCACCTATAGAAGTATTGGATTACATGCAGTTAACAAAATATAGTAGATTTGGGAAACTTGGGTTTTTATGTTGTCACATCATTTTCATCTTTCAGAAAACATGGTGAACCAATAAAACAATGCACAGAATTAGAGAATATATAATTAAAAGAAAAGAATGGAAATTAAAAGATGTTAAACTATTATTAAGACCTCATTTTGAATATTGTGCACAATGTTGGGCAATATTGGTGACCAACTATGGAAGAGGTATATATTTTTTAGCATTGTTTCAGCAGCAATATTGGTCTAAAATGTATTAATTCAGAAAAGACACTTAAAAATGTGCTGCTAAAAAATTCTAATTTATTTTAGAATCTTGTTACATAATTAGATCAAGCGCTGCTTTATTATCTGTATCTAATATCTGTAACTGATGCTCATTTAATTGCAGATTTAAGCGAATTACAAACTTGGGGAACAGGGAAAAAAGTATGATTAGAATAGTCATAGTGAATTAAATTTTCACCAAACAAATATCAGTGCTCACCATAGAGAAGTAGTCCCTCAGCCTGTCCTGCAGGTGCAGTGGGATGTCCAGTGTGCAGGGGCGTCTCTCTCTCTCACCCATCTGGCGGATTTGGTCCAGGTGGTACATGGCGTGGGTCAGGGGATGATTGTTCCTGTCAATCAGACCCCTCTCCTGCATGTGTAAAAGCAAGCGGTGAGACCTACAGTGGACCCCTCGGAAAGCCCACCTCCCTGTCCCACTCTCCCCTCCGCAGCTCTTTACCTTCAGTCTCAGGCAGGCCAGGGCAGCTGCTCGGTTCTCTGCCTCCATCTTGTGCCGCGCAGTGGCCACGAAGTTCATGGGTTCAGGCCACTTAAGAGTCAGCTGGCAGGTCTTTAACTTGCCCCCCAGCGTGCAATATTGCACCAGCTCCTGCACAGAGGAGGAAACAATCACAGTCTTTTACTACACACCCACTGACAGAGCTCCAGCCACACACAGTAGCAGTACTAAAACTAGTCTGCATCAGCTCTGTCGTACACACAGTCGCAGTCTAATATGTAGGTATTCTGGGCTTTCACACAATCTTTGGGTCAAATGACATGACATTGGTGACTCAAATGGTTATGCCTTTTACTGAAAAGGGAGAGAAACACCCATCCCCTTCACTGTATATCGGCAGAAAAGAGTTGAAGCTGTCATGACATGCATTGCGACTACAAGAACTACTGATTTACTTCTGCCAGCTCTAATATTTTGTTTGGCATGCTGAATTTTACAAAAATAAAAGAAGTTTATAAATTAACAATGATTTCACAACAGTTGTGACACAGACAGAGAAAGAATGCAAAGCTGCAAGAGAAAGACACAAAGGCAGAGGCGCCTGGACGGAGAAGCAGATACACAGACATGTAGATGGAGTCACACGAAAGCAACTGGACTCACTCTGACGTTAGAGGAGGAGGTGGCAACCTGGATGACCTTGGCCAGCAGGGCCTTGGGTTTTGGGAACAGGGAGAGAGCTCGCACCACCCCTGGGTCCTCCTGGGCCAACCTGGACAGGGAATGATGGAGAAAAGGAGTGGAAAAGAGTCAGTGAGAGACAGAGAAGGCACACAAATGCTGGGGAGACACTAGGCTGTACACAGTAAAATATGGGAGCCTGTAGGGGGCAGGGTGTACCTGGGAGGTGCTGGAGGGCTTGGCACCTCTTGGCTGGAGTCAACCATGAAGTCAGTGACATCCAACGCTGCCTCCTCCCCTTCCCCATCCTCCTCATCGGTGGACAGAGAAGGGGGTCTGGGGTTCACCATACGCAGTGCTCGTCTTCGTGGCAGTTCGTTACCTGGGCCCAAAACCCCCATGTTCTGAAAATGCAGAGACCAAAAGAGTAGAATTAGAGAAAAGAGGAGGAAATGAAGGGGCAGGGGAGAGAAATGAGGAGGGAAGGAGAAAGAATGAGAGAGAGGGAATTGTTTTTGAGAGAAAATAGCAGGAAATATTTAACATACAACACACTTCCATTTACCATTTTGGTTTCATGTCACTTGCAATATAGCATTCCAAAGCCACAGAGTAAAATCTCAGTAGAAATCTGAATTAAGAGTAAGGCCTAATTTTCAGAGTTGCTCTTGCTACTTGAAAAAGTACTGCATACTAATAAATATGCCCAAACGATTTCAGTAAACTGTGCAGATAGGGAAGCCATCTATACCTAATGCAGATATTGGACAGTCACCAGTCCTCAGTAACCAGACAGTCTCAGATAGGCCTCAGCTACTGAAAAGGGCAGCACCACCTCCCATGTAACTCAGCCCTCTGAGTGTATTGTAGGGATCAGGGTCTCTCACCTTCAGGATCATGCAGGCAGCTGCAGCAGCTCGCCGCTCAGCGTCAATCTTCCGGGAGCCAAATCCCTCTGCCTCCACCCTGCGCGGCCACAGCACCGTCACCGTGGCTCTCTGTAAAACACACACACAGACCCTGTCACTACGTCCCTCTGTAATATACACACACAGGCCCTGTCGCCACATCCCTCTGTAAGACAGACAGAGAGAGACACACACACACATCCACACACTGTCACCACGTCCCTCTGTAAGACACACAAGGCACAGGCCCTGTCACCACATCCCTCTGTAAGACATTCTGAGCTCAGTTGTTTTGTAGGTAAATTGTACACATGAATTAATTTGACTCTGTACAGGCATTAATGTGGTTTTGTGTACAGGTGTATACTGTCAGCGAAAGCCCACCTTGACATGTCCCTCAGTGCAGCTGTACAGGATGTGCTGTGAGAGGTCTGATATTCCCAGAGCCCGGGACAGCAAATTGTGCAGCAGACTCTTGGGATGAGGAAACTCCTTCAGAAGTTCCTTACGGCCTGGACAGAGAGACACACAGAGAATGAGGGACACTCAAAGACAATGTACTCTCAAGGGAGCACACACAGTAAGATACACTTAAAAAGAAACACAGAGCCACAGAGAGAGGTACAGAGAGATGACTCTAAAAAGCTTTGTGATCAAATTATAACTGTGTGTAGATGAACCGTAGGATTTAAGTACAGTATTTTCAGACAAACAGGTTAGCACTGGAGCATTTTACAACTCCGTGATGTAAAATAAGATAGAAATCTATCTATAAGATGAAACATGACTTAAAGATAAGCAAAGTACGTATAAGACAAGCTATATGAATTTTACCAAAACTTTACAGTTTTGGTAAACTGTACTCCGCACTTTGCGGAGCGGTGGCTCTGTGGCTAAGGATATGCGCCTGTGACTGGAAGGTTGCCGGTTCAAATCCCGCGGCCGGCAGAGGAATCCTACTCCGTTGGGCCCCTGAGCAAGGCCCTTAACCCTAACTGCTCCAGGGGCGCCGTACAATGGCAGACCCTGCGCTCTGACCATAAGCTTCTCCCTGTCTGTGTGTCTGTGTCTCCATGGAGAAAACCTGGGGTATGCGAAAAGGCGAATTCCTAATGCAAGAAATTGTATGGGGCTAATAAAGAAACATTATATTATACATTATACATTATACACTATTATAAAAAACAGTAAAGAGAACAGAAAACTAAGCTTTGTCACTAAAAAAGGAAGAGCTTAATGCTAGCACATTTAAAGCTAATTGTAGGATAAAGTGTATATTTATATATAATGAATACATACATATTATATTAAATATGATACAATACAATATTACATATTAAGGTATTTCTGTATAATTGGAATCCTGTTATTGTTTTTAATACAATATACTGGGCATCAAAAGAAATTAATCACCACAACACCATTAATTGCTAAATTTAAAAAGTTAAAACCTGGTACAAAAGCTGCCTTTTTCGTGATTTGTTATAACTGCAACAAATTCACAAAGTTATGTTTCTATTTATTCTCCGGCTAAAATTGAATAACTCGGCAAAGAAGTAACTGAAGCAACGCTGTCCTTTGAACATCAAGCTCCAATTTCACGGAAAACCGTACAGCAACGGTAAGTGGTACGAGCCACAATATCACAACGGACACAGGGCATTTACGAATGAATTGTACGAAACGTGAATCCCAGTCCTGTGGACGGTCTGAAATGTCCACATTTACCTTGTACTTATTGGCAATTACAAAATAAAAGTAAAGAAACAAATTTAATTTTTTTAATTTAATTTAATGTGGAATTATCTTTTTGTAGAGCTATATCAAAGTTTTATTTCTAATAGAGCGTCTGCTCTAAACGTAGAGATGTTGCTGTAACCTTTCTACACCTGTATGACCCCTAGCAACACCGTTACGTCACGGTAAGGTACTGTACAGACTGAAATGACCCCTCTGCACAACAGACCTAGTTTGGAGACACCGTAACTTTATATCGTGATATCACGATGTCAGACTATCTATTTAATGAACACATTTCAGAAAACAGAGAAATCTGTTAGATTATGCTCCAAAGCTACTGCATAAGCTTCCCGGCTGTCATCTTACCTCGTCTCATCTCCGCCACTCGGTTCTCTTCTTCCTGCTCCTTCCCTGCCTCTATTACGAACTGTCTGGACCCGGTAGTCCGGTACCGACAGACCCCAAACCAGCTGTGTTTACAAGGGTTCCTAATCACGCACGAAATCCCTTTAATAATCCGATAAACTCGCACCCCCACGGGGAACACGCAGGGCGCCGCCATCTTTAAAGTTGGTTACTAGCCTTGGAAACAGCGTGTAGCGGTGCAGCACCGCTCAAGACCGCCCCAACAGCGCCGCCTGCAAGCCCGGCGGATGTCACACACGCTGATTCCACTGCTCTATTTTACTTGAATGGTAAAGGACATTCAGTTTGGTTTTTATCATTCTTTGGTTGGTATTCCTTTTAGAGCAGGAATTGTTTATGATGCTCTTTTTTAACTCTTTCTTTCCATCCTCCCTTTATTAGAAGCTGCTTATCCCCTGGGATTATGGTGTCCTGGAGCCTACCCCAGAAGCACAGGGCACAGACACCTTGAATGGGACAGCAGTCCATCACAGGGCACTCAGACACACAAGCAGACAGAGACTATGAGAACCTTGCCTGCATGTGTCTGGGTGGTGGGAACAAACTGTAAGCCCAAGTGAACACAGGTAAACCATGCAGACTCCATACAGAAGGCACCCAGAATCAAAATCAGGAAAGAGAGATGTGAGGCAGCAGTGTTAATTGCAAGGGCCCCACGCTTTGATGCAGGAAAAGCTCATTTTTGTAGAGATTACTAAACCTGGATGTAGTATTCTAAATACGGTCATATTAAATCATTCTATGTATTCTCTTTATTTCCTGCATCTTCTTCCCGATGACCAGGAAGACTCAGCACAAACCAGAAAAGAGTGACCGGACACATTCCTGGGCTATAATGTATAGAATTCAGCCCAGCTGACTTCTTCAGAATGAACCGTGAAATGTGAAGCACAGGACACAAGGGGAAACTCCAATAGAAAAATGAGAACAGGATGCACTTCTTTACCCATAGTTCTGTGGGAGTAGGGAACATACTACCTAGTCATGTTTTTGAATTGGACATCCTGTCTTCCTTTAAGAAATGACTGGATGAGATCCCCAGACCAATTAACTACCAAATGAGTTAGATGGGCCAAGTGGCCTCACATTTTTAAAGCCTCTCATGTTCTCATTTACCTGTAGTTACACTTTTCTTTCCTTCATGGTGGTAGGACACCCATTGTTACTTTGTGGCTCTGAAATATTTTTATTTAGCTGACAAGGTGGGCAGCTCGACTGATTGGACAATCTGTACTCTGTGTCAGTGTTTACATCCATTCTGAGTTCGTGCTATTCTAACATGGCATTTATAGGATCACAGGAGATTATTCACTGTTTGCAGGATGTTATAAAATGAAAGTCATCGCTGTGAGTTTCAGAGTTAAGGTTTTGATTAAATGACTTCCTATTTACTTTACTCTCCAGAATCCCTTTATAATAAAGTTATTTTAAATCTACGTCAAAATGAACTGTAACTTCTTGCATCCCTACCCTGACAGGTGAAAAAAACATGATGTATTTAGTCTTGAACAGAAAAGATAATGAGGGGACCTGATTCCCAAATCCAAAAAGTCATTGACAAAGTGAACCAAGCAGATATCATCTGAACCATAGGTGAAACACGAACCAGAGGACACAAGTGGACACTATGAGGGAGTACATTTAAAACCCAGAGCAGGAGGTTTTTCTTCTCATGTTGGAAACTGGAGTCTTGGATTACGAAGGTGACTGAAGGCCAGAGGAATGAGCAGCTGATCAGAGCACACATCACCTCTTCACTGCCTGACACCTTGGACTTACTGCAATTATCATACCGACAGAACAGATCAACTGAGTACGCCATCGCCACTGCTCTACACACTACCCTCTCACACCTAGACAAGAAAGGAACGTATGTGAGAATGCTGTTTGTTGATTTCGGCACAGCATTCAACACCATTGTACCGTCAAGGCTTATCACCAAGCTCCAAGCTCCATTTACATCATCGGGTCTGTAGTGGAGAGGGTCAGCAGTTTTAAATTCCCAGGTGTTAACATCACAGAGGACTTAACCTGGTCTCACCACACCAACATTGTGGTCAAAACAGCACAGCAGTGCCTATTCTTTCTCCACAGGCTAAAGAAGTTTGGCATGCCATTACATATTCCAGCCAACGTCTACAGATGCACTGTTGAGAGTATCCTGACTGGTTGCATCACTGCCTGGTATGAGAGATGCTCTGCCCGGGATCGCAAAGTACTGCTGAGGGTGGTGAAATCAGCACAGTTCATCACCGGCTGCATACTACCAGACATTGAGGATATCTACTCAGTTACTGTAGATGCCTCAGGAAAGCCAGGTCTATAATCAAGGACCCCAGTTGCCCAAGCCACAATTTGTTTTGTCTTTCTGGAAACGATACTGAAACCTGCAAAGACCGGCAGATTTAAAAACAGCCTTTTCCCGTGTTTTTTCCTCGCCCTCAATTTTTTTTATGCCTGCAAGAATTACAAGATTTTGCGTAATCTTGTAAATTGTTCCAATAATTTATTGTATTCTTCTTGTAACCTTCTATCAAATTCTGCCCCATCTCTCCTTGGCGAGCTCGCGGAAAATGCATTTCACTGCCGACAACCACCGCTGTATGCTGTATTGTTGTGCATTAATAAATAAACCATGATTGATTGATTGAACAATACCTCAGGGAGAGAGTACCAAGGCTCAAAGTCTCCCTAGTCTGGAAGACACTGCCCTAAACCCAGCTGGGGCTCCTGCAAGGTTGTTACTGTGGCTCAAGTCCTGGTGGTACAAACAGCACATTAACCCCCTATCTAACGTCCAAGACCCATCAAGACACTGCAAATTGTGATCTCTGTTGAGCTTTGTGACACTGTAGAGACTTTGAGAAAAACAAAAAAAATATTTGTAATATAAATACAATGTATTTTGTTCGTTACTTTGAGCACGCTACAATGAAAAAAACTGCATTGAGAATTATATACCGTGTTAAGAACTGTACCCACTACAGTCTGGATAAAACTACAGTACGCTGCTGTACTGGGAGCCGGTAAAGTTTCTGTGCCGGCAGCTCATTCACCATTGGCTCGTGCTCCTTCCTGCGGCGTGGGACGGGCAGTCAACGCGTGACGTCCTGTTCCTGGAAAATGAAGGTCTGTATGCGGCGAGATGGCAGAGGGCTCTGCGGGATGTGTTAACATGTGAAAAAGAAGTTTCATTCCATATGTAAGGCCGCTTCTTGGTGCTGAATCACGAAAACTGAGGTAAGATATCAATTTATCGTGCGTTATAAAAGGTGCTTGTGATGCGTTCTTTTATAATTTCACCGCCTTCGCTGTTTTGTGGCTGGAATCGCAGAGCATGTGATCCTGTTTATAATTCGGGCTCAGGAAGTGAGGGAGGGTCGACTTCACCTGCACTGTCACACCGGATCCCCCAGAGAGCAGAAAATAGCAGCGCACTAAATTACGAAAGCTGTGTTTAAAGTTATCGCATGGTAGCCGTAATAATAAACAATGTGTTTGTAGGATGCGAATTCAGGATATTTGCTTATACGAATATTATAATTAAGGCGTTGCATATAGAGGTTGCAGGTTGAATAAAATCTCACACGTGTTCAGGATTATTGTTTTTTATCTACAGATAGGGATTGCAGGTATTTACGGAGCTACTGATCTGTTCCATCTGTGTTGAATCAGCTAAACCTGTTTACCCCATCATGCTCACAGGGCTGGAGATGCTCATACGGAGTCTAATGTGGTCGTGTGATTAACAGTTTGCAATTACTTGGGACTTTGTACTTTATTTTATTAATGTGTCTTCTTGATGAGCTTCACGTGTTTTAACAGATTACAAGAAAAAACAAATCTGCAGCGTAATTATCGGTGTCTGCAAGCTGACACGCCTGATCCTACCGTATGCTCTTTGAGTGTAGCTTGTGTTGTTGTTTTGTGTCAGTCGCTAGTTCAAGCGGTTGTTTTTTTTATTTCGAGTCTTATTTCTGTGCTTGCGGACAATAATAGCTGCTGACCGAGTCGTATGTATGTGAGCAAGCTACCGTCTTTCCTTGATCAAACGAAGCTGCTTTCGCAGCGAGTGTCTTTATTTGCTGACTCGAAGATCACCGAGTCTTTGTAATTAGCAAGAGAGCCTATGGTGTTCACAACTGGGACCCCTTTGCCTTAAGGATCTGGAGCTTTTAGATTAATTAGAGTTAACCTGTGCCTTGCTGAATTTACAGCTATTGGTTAACTATATACAGAACATATCTGTTCTAACAGCTTTCTTTAACTTTGCGATATGATTGTTTCTGAATTTAACGTGTTTATCAACTGGGGTAGCAGAAAAAGATCCCAAAACGGAAAATAATTCTAACAATATTTAAAAGCAGAGTCCAGTCATTCTGGTAAGGTACATCAAATATGTGACATCACATGTTTGCAAACTAGATGTTAGCACCATGTGTGTTCTTTAAATATGTTTAATACAATTCCTGTGAAAATTCAGATTCATCTCATGCTATCTGAAGTTCAGTTTCAGGGCTAGATTAGTTACTGTGCAGATAGGAATTGCCAGTTTTCAACTCATGAGGAAGTGTCTATTAGGTCTCACTGTATAATTTTACTTCAGATTGTGACTGATGAGTGAATTCTCACAAGACTAGCCCAGACATTAGTGACTGTGAGCAAGTCTGTCATAGTGAATGAGTCTAATCTAAGGAATGGAAAACTGAACAGCCCAAATCACCTTTAAACAGAAGACTGCTACAAGTTACTCTAGGTCTGTACATACTCTACATCTTATTTTAAGGCTGTGCCTTGTATTGCTATTGTATTGTATTGTATTGCTATATTGCTATATTTTCCTGCTTTATATTTAGATTAAGTATGTACAAAGTTAAAGCACTGTTATTTTGTGTAAGGTAAAATACACTCGTTGTAAAGTTTACATTAAAGTGTGATCAGAGAAAGAAATTACATTGTCTTGGGTAATCAAGTGCTCATTACATAGAATCGGAACCAGAGAGTTCCTGTAGGCTTTATACACCTGACAGGTGATTTGCCTTCTCTTTAGTTCTTTTTAGTTACATAGAATGGTTTAATCTGTGTTTACCTTTACCAGGACAAACATTTCTTGTACTTTGATAAGGAATCAGATGAAGAATGTTTTAGGCTTTGCCATAGATTCTACCAGAAGCATTTTCTATTGCTTAATCTGTAGGCTATATATCTGTAGGCTATATAAATCTGTAGGCTATATATCTATTATATATATATATAACATCTAATTTGTGAAACAGTTATTTAAACAGGCAGTGATTCCCACCACACCTCAAGAAATGTTGTCCCCCAGAATCCAATAAGCCAGGATTCCTGTGCACTTGCAACGGCTTGTTAAATGATGCTAACAGTACGAACAAATGGCACTCGTTACCAAAACAGGCTGATTTTTGCGTTTAATTTTCTTACAGTTGAACACCGTTGAGAAGAGTCAGCGCTGCACCACGTGCTTTTGGCCGCGCCTGGTCCCCTATGGTTGGTGGACGACCTCTTAGGGCTGACAGCTTTTCTGCAGGAGCAGGAGCAGGAGATGGCCACCCCTTTCGTTCCCGTGCCAGTGCCTATGGAAGGCGCGGCCTTGCCCGGTGGGGCCCGACCCCGGAGCCAAAGGAGTCCGTCCTTTGGAAGCATCTCCAGCAGCTCCAGTTCCTCCAGGGGCCCCGGTGACGACGCCGGCTCTGGGAAAAAGAGCAGCCTGTCCGAGCAGTCGTGTGCCACCCCGCCGCAGTGCCAGAGCCCCGTGATCAGGACTAAGCTGAATGGGGCTGACTCTGCCATGGAGTACTCCAGCTGTGACCGGGTGCTGCCGCCAGAGGCCTCCAGCTGGGAGGAGCGGCCGGCCACGCCCACCGTGCTGGGCTATGAGGTCATGGAGGAACGAGCCAAATTCACCGTAAGACACCTGATGTGTGGCACAATTCCTGCTCTGTTTTAAAGCACTTGATTATTTTTCGTGTATTACATGTGAAACTTTAAGAGACGTTCAGTTGCTTTAAGCCCTGTAGTCCTGGACAGACAGTTAAATCATGTGGTTTAATGGTGTGGCCATGCGCTGTGGGGGTCTGGTTCAGGGTCTGGTTAGCCAGCGGCATCTTGAAGCATCAGGCCTTGATTGAACATAAACCTTGAACCCTCTTGCAAAGTTGGGGTTTCCATTATAGGATACAACAGGCCACTTATAACCTACCATAAAGGTATGTATTTGAAATTTGCAAATGGATAGTGGGTTGAAGTTTTAAATTAATCCACAGCTAAATCTGATCTGCTGTTAGCATGGATCAGGCTGTTAGAGTTTTTTAGTTTTACAGGTATTTCAGGTGATGGAGAGGGGTACATTGACACAGTTCAGAGATCACAGTGGCACAGTCCTGGTTGCTTCAGCGCCTGATGAGGTTTGGTATATTGGATGTACAGAGGAAGCTGCTTGATAAGAGGAAAAAACACTTTTAGGAGGGTCCCAGTCTGGATAAAGCCTTAGTGTGGCATTTCAGTTTTTGGTTCAGAGGAAAAGGATGTGTTACACTTTCCAATAATATGCTGTCTGAATTAAATGCAGAATTTTGATCCACTGCCAGAGCAGGTTTATATTGCTGAAACACATGGGTCCAATCTCAAAGTGGCACAGCTGTTGATAAGGAATTTTAAAAATAGTATTGCAAATGAGGGTAACAGGTTTGTGCCAGATTCTTACAGGTCAAGCAGAGAAAGAAGGCTGATAATGTAAACAGCCTTAGCCTCAGCAGAAGTCACTTTAGTATAAAGTTACAGGTTTAGGCCACCTAGTAGAATCACTCTCTGTCAGAGAAAAAGGAAGCTGGATGAATATGAGGGAAGACTACCAGATTTAAACACAGACACTGTATAAGCCGCCATTCTTACTAAAGTGGAGCCCAGTAAAACAGATATAAAGCTGCCTGTGACAGCTTCAGTGCAGCAACATATCAATTGTGAATTTCCTATCACGTCACCCTTTCAAAGTAAATTGTATTTTTAATGTCACTAAAATAACCTTATATCCTTGCTTTTTTATGGACGTCACATGTGAATAGCAGACGTGGTACCAAAAAGAACACACAAGAAATACAGAAAATAGAAAACTATTTTTAGAAATACTGTTTATACCTTTTTGCCTTCTTGAAAAAGAATACTTCAGTGACAGATTTCTTCCTTCATTTGTCCAGTTTAAGCACGTGGTGTGAACAATCCTATAATAAGCAATAATGTATAACATACACAAAACTACACAGACTCTTCTGTGTAAATGTCAGTTTTTACTTTATTATATATGTATTTGTAGTCTTTAAAAAACTTTATAAAGACATTCTGTGCTTGTGATTACATCCATTACTGAGAACAGTAATAAGCAATTTGTTAAAACATATTGGAAAATACTTTCATGAAGAGGTTTCAGTTCTTAGACAGTTTCGATGACAGTTGATAATTATTTACATCTAAGTAGTTACATCCGATGTCCTCTCTCCTGCTGTTTCATGTCAGTATGTTGATTCTCAGAGATCATTGAGGTGCTTGAATGGGATCAGAGCATACATAAATGTTAGACCCATCTTGAATCACAGGTGTGGTGACTCACTTCAGACATTGACAGTTTAATCATTGGTAGTGTGGCACTATGGTATAGATTGCAGTATTAGCCAAGCTCATTCTAATGAATTACTCCTCGAAATTAGATTCCTTGTATCACCTCCTCCTTTGCTGGAAAATACAATATTGATGCAATATTGACATCCTTAAAATATTCTGTTTTGGTGCTTTTTTCTAAATGACCAATAAGCACATTGTCTGAAATCTATTTTTTTAAAGTTATTTACATGCAGTAATCAGAGTTTAAGGTTGTAGTAGTTCAGGTGGGTAGCTGCGTCAGCATGTGTAGGCTGCAAAGGAACAAGTAATAGGTTTATTCCATGCTGAAAAAAAGAAGAAAGAAAATGCAATGTTTGGCCGTGGAGCCTTCTTCAGGTGTGAGAAAGACAAGGCTGTGTCTTTCTGGCTTTGTCTTTCTCACAGCTGAAGAAGGCTCCACAGCTAAAATGTTGTGTTTTCTTTCTTCTTTTTTTCAGTGTTTAAGGTTGCTTGCCTTTATTGTTAACAGAATTAAAGTTTAATTTAAGCATATGATTAGTTAAGTAATTCATGGGTCATGTGGATATATAGGTTTCATTGTTAGGTCACTGTGTTGGCCAAGATTTTGTAAAAGATTTTGTAAAAACGTTTTGAAAACCCCACACAATTCAACAACAGTGGCTCTTTAGGAGGTCAGATTAGAGAACTGAAACATCTCTGTAGCTTTGCAAACACTCATAAATAATGACACTGAACAAAATAAAAACAGTAGTGCAGTTATGAGATGGCAAAGGGCTGGACCTACAGATGACTGACTTCAGAATTTTAAAAATAGCTTCTCTTTTCCTCTGTCTCAAAAGTGTTCAGCTGAAGTTAACGGCACAAGTATGTTGTCCCAGGAAATGAGTGATCTCTTCAAAAACTTCCACTCTCAGGCAAACCTGGACTGGTAGTTAGTCTTTTGCAGAGCTAAGTCTTGCAACTTCTTGTGTGAATGCAATGTGTTTTGTAAATAAAATATCGACAAAAGGAACAGAAACAGGTGTATGCCTAACTTCTAAATGATGACTTATCATGGCTTGTACTTTGCATGAACAGTCTGCATCTGTTTTCTCTTCAAAGCACATTAGAGTGATCAACTATTTTGTTTGTCCAATTCCATACCATGTAACATCCATTTCAGCCCTGTATGTCCACAAGTATAGCTTCTAAACAAATCATCACACCATCTATGTTCACATTAATGTATTCTGTTTTTAGTATTAATCCATAAAGAGACGAGGCTTATTGACAGCATAATTGAAATGGTTCAGCTTCAGAAGTGGTAATTCCTGTTTCCAATGCAGGTTTATAAGATTTTGGTGAAAAAGAGTCAGGAGGAGAGCTGGGTGGTCTTCCGACGGTACACAGATTTCTCCCGGCTGAACGACAAGGTCAGTGCGTCTTGTGAAACTGAATTTGTTTGTGTTTTCTCACAAGGAGAGGTGTGTAATATCGTATGAGTGCTTGTCTGGTGTGGTTGTGGGTGACTGACGTCTCGAATGCTGAGTTGAAAGGCAGCCTCACCTGAGGCATGGTGGGAAGGGTGTGGCTCACGTCAGTGTGCTGTGGTCAGGCTGCTGGTGGCAGCTCCTGTCCAGCACTGTCTGACTTTTCTGCAAAACATCCACCATGAGTAAACAGCAGGTGATGTAACAGAGCTGGCTTGTAGGTATACAGTATGTACTTAGCAAAACGAGACATGCACAAATAGGTTAGTCCTTTCTCTTTCGAGAGTTCTTGGTCAGTGTAGGGAATATATGAAGTTGAATTTAACTCTGTCTCTTGTTTCAGCATGAGCTGCTTAAGTGTCTAATAAACCCCTCATTTTTCAACAGCTAAATTATATTATATAGAGAAACATCCCTATGTCTTTTTTTGTCTCCCATTTGTAACTACTGAACTGAACATTATATTGCTTTAGTGTAATTGTGTTGCTGATAAATGTAAATGGAATTTTATTGAGCAGTTCTGTCTCTGGCTAAAAGGCTTTGTTGGCGATTAGGATAGAGCACACTAACATGAAAACAACCTTCCCTTCTTTTTAAATTCTTAAACTGTCTTGAATTGTAAACTACTTGCTGTTTTGTACTCAAAGCTAAAGTTATGAGTGAAAAAAGACAACGCCTACTTAAATCTGACCTACCTAAAATTCCCCCTTGTTTCAACAGGTTAAGCAGTTTCACGCTTCTTCATCACTGTTCCATTGTATAGGGGCAGCTAGTGCACAATGGGCACCATGCGTAACCCAGAGGGGTGCTGCCCTCCAGTCGCAGATGAAGTGGGTTTCCTGTCTCTCATATGTAAAGTGCTTGGAATCCTTTGAGATGAAAAGTCCTATAGGAAAAAAAAATGCTATGCACTCAATTCAGAATTATTTAATTTACTATTATTCAAATAGGTGACCTAAAGAATAATTATGCTGTTGAATAAGAAATTAAATTGAATTCCAGCTTGCCAGAGCTTGTTGTCATACCACACTAATCCCCACTAATGCTGTTCAGCACTGGCATGTGGTTTCATTTTTCGAAAATTGGCATTCATTTAAGTTTCCAAGAGTAATGCCTAGATTTTGTACTGTAACTAAATGACAAGCTTTTAACTCAAAAAGATGTAGGAGATTGGAGTAATATACATGCTGAGTGATCTTATAAAAGAAAAAATGAATAATAAAAATTTGCAGTCCATCCCTTCTGTATATTGTATATTAAGCAGAAGTATAGCACAAATCTTGTATTGCTTAGTGCTTTAGTTTGGACTTGACATTTTAAGTCTTTATTGGAGCAAACATTTTCACAGTACCTAGAAGGGGTAATTTTTGTAGTGGGCCATTGATCTTTTTATGGAGTTAGTGTACTCTACAGTATTGCTCTATTTACACACATTGTTTCCCCGGAAAGCCATTACTGAGCGGAGATGTAGGAGCTGGAGTTGGTTGTTTTAGTCTTAGAAAACAAGCATTCATCAGCTTTCTAGGCTAAAACTTTCTTAAGCTGTTTTTAAAGACCTTTTAGCCATTTAATTTCTCTGGCTTTCATTTTCATTGATATTCATGCTTAGTACTCCACAAGTCCCTTCAGCTGGTTCCAAGCTGATAAAATCCTGCATATTCCAGTTCTCCTGGTATTTATCACTTCTGAGGCTACAGTGCGTTATCTGTGGTTTTGCTTTAGGGTTAAATACACAGGTTTTGTTCAGATCTTCTTTTGGAAGAGGCTGGAATGAATTCCATCTTCCCAGTTTTGTGCAGCAGAAGAGATTAACCTAGCAGGGATTGTATGACTGGACAGTTTCCTCTTCAGAGATGAAGATGAGATTCTGAAAGCCTGTCTGTGCTCTGACCCAGTCCCTCCACAGAACCTGCAGTTGTGCTGAAGAGAATATGCATCTAAGACAGTGGTTCTCAAACTTTTTGGGCCAAGTACCACCCCGATCAAACCAAAGCATCCATGTACCACCTACAAGTCATCTTCTCATAGGAACCACAGAAAATCTCAACTACCAACATGAGGGCACGTGTGTGCACACACTCACATACACATACAATAAATATTATAATAATAAACTTTATTTGATATAGTGCCTTTAAAGGTGCCTTCTCAAAGCGCTTTACAGAAGACAACAGGCACAAGAACAATTAAAAATAAACAATAAAAAAGCACTTAAGATTTCAGTGAGGGGTGAGCCTGTTTTGTCGAACAAAGCATATGCGAGATCATTGGTCGAGCCTTGATACAATTCACAACAGAGTCTAACCGATTTTAAATTCTCAGGCATTTTCTTGACTGCCAAGGCCTCGCGGTGGATGCTGCAGTGCGTCCACTTCATATCTGGAGCAACCTCTCTAATTCGTGCAACTGCACTGCTGTGTCGGCTTGTCATCGCTCTAGCACCGTCTGCACAAACCCCAACGCATTTTATCCAGTCCACGCCATTCTCTTCGATAAATTAATTCAGAAGGTGAAATATGTGCTCTCCTGTGGTTCTTGTTGGTAGCAGCTTACAAAACAGAAAGTCCTCGTGGGACATACCCTCAAACTTCTTACGTATCTAACGTAAATGAGTAAATGAGCAAACTGGCCAAATCGACTACAGACTCATCTAATTGCAGTGAAAAGCATCTGCTCATCTTAACGCGCTCTCTCAGCGTACTTTTGACATCATCTGCCATATTAATTATTCTGCGAGTGACTGTGTCTTTCAGAGGGGGCAGCAGGTCGAGCTGTTTAGCAGCTTTTTCTCTACACATAATACATGTCATCTGTTTGGCAACAGTAAACAAAGTTCTTCACAAGTAGTGTGGGGCTTACCTGCTTTAGTAATTTGCAAGCTTGCATTTTTCCCCAATTCCGTCTCAGGAGTCTGTCTCAGAAGTTAAAATAAGTTTTTATTTCATGTGCATGAGACCGAAACACAGAGACGCTCGATGTATTTTTCCCAGATTGACCTAGGACGGTCCTTAAATATTTTTCTGTTATCTATCACCCTTTCCTGTGCTCACAAGATTGCCATTGTTCCAAAATCACGCACATTCTCCTACCTCCCTATTTGCTGGAGATAACTTTTTTAAAACTACAATTGGTAACTTACGTTCGTAGCACGTATTCCTATACAATAGTATAGAATTACATAGTAGCTCTTTTTGTCCACTCAAGTATTAGCGCGTGCTGTATCATAGTACATAGGCTGTACTTGACACATAAACTAATTTTATTAAAATAGAAAATATGAAACCTGTTCCAATTTTTCAGTGCACACAACAAATTTCCAGGGCCATTTGGTGTACCACCTGGGGGCGCTCTGCGTACCGTATCACAGTTTGAGAACCATGGATCTAAGACTTCTGACCTGTTGGCAGATTCAGCCCCTGGCATAGGTGAATTAGGCAACTACCTAGGGCCCTAAGGCCACTAGGAGGCCCCTCGTTGACAACACAACATATTTTTAATCTCCATGTTCAAATGTGAGCAACAAATTCCCTACAGCTGATCTTTCTGTTGCTGCTATGAAATATCCTAATGGAGGCCCAGTCAAAAAATGACCAGTTACCTGTATAATCAAGTACATAATAGGTTTCTGAAGCACAGAAAAGAAGAGTGAGTTAAGAGATCTCAAAACAGAGGTACACCAACTAAAGTCACTGAAATAATGCATTTATATTTCATTTGGTTTTGAGTCCGTCAGATCCAGGTAACTAGCGAACGGTAGACAAGCCACTTTGTCAAGCTAGACGTGTAGGCTACTGGAGGTGTTTTACTACAACTGGAAATCTATATAAAACTTGTCTTACAAGTTTACAAAAAATACATTTTCACATTAAAGAAATTGTAGCATTATTATTTTTTAATTGTGGTTTAACTTGCACATAAAATACTTTCTTGACACAGACGGGGTGCCAGAATGGAAGGATGGATCTATTGGCTTTCTGCATTCCGCCTTCACATCCCGTTTTTATTGTTCCAGAGTCGTTTCTCTGTGTACTTTGTGCTCATTTGCTCTAATTCCACAGAACTGAAACTCCAGTTTAGTGTTGTTTCAGTAGCAAGAGTGTATGGCTTTGGGGAGGTGAACTACTGTTTTTCAAAGAGATATCTCTCATGGTTATGTAACCTCATCAGAAAAGAAGGCTGAATCTTATTTTGTCTCACTGCTCATTGTCAAACTCACTTTTACAGTAGAGCAGAGCTTTTTGTTGGCAGCAGGTTTGGAATTCCTTTTCTTATACACATTTTTTAAATAGCTAATATTCACAGCCTCTCATATGCCTGTCTGACTCTGAAGTACAAGGGTTGCCTTTGTTTTTTTAAAGAGTTAGGGAAGTGATTGTGCATGACAGAACAATGAAATGTTGTTTTTTAGAAGCCTGATTAAACAGAAAATCCATAAGGTAGTAATAAAAAAAGAATGTCTGTCCTGACAAAATTCCCACTCAGTAGCCTTGATCTCTAGGCTCCAGTAGTCTTTCTGTCACTGGGGGTGGGGGGCAGGAATGGTCAAGTGTAGGAGCATCTTAAAGAAATTGGAAGATATGCAAAATTTTCATCATCATCTAATACTTGTAAAAATCTATAAAAATTGCTCTGAAAAAATTGAGCACAAGTTTCTGTTTATACATCCCATTACATCTAAAATAATAGACATTTTTTTCATATCTGGCTAGGATACTGAACTTCATTTTAGCAGTGTACAGATGTACAAAATGTATAATTGATGTATTGATTTGGAATAAATATCATTCAAGTTACACAGGAGTTTCACTGGAACAGTATTTGTGCAATCTGTACTAAAATTTATTTTTTCTTTTAAATTTTACTTAATTAAATTTACCTTCTTATTTTCATTCCTGCTTTCCTAGGCTGTAGCTTATTAAGGAAAGAGCAAATCTTGAATTAGAGGGTGCGATGCCTAATGTATAATTAACAGACTTCAGTGGAACAGAAGTTTAAGTGCCTGTTTCTTTATAAGACAGAAGAGATCATTGTACTGTTATCAAAGATCCCCAGAGTATGTGAAGGCACAAGCTGCTAAATCCTTTCTTCTCAAGATCCCTGTGCTTTCTGAAGATTTATTTTGTTCTGTGAGAAGGCTTTTTGGCTGGAGCAGGTTTCAGGGTGTGTCTGTACAAAGGCTCTGCTTCTGTTCTCATTCTTTTGTTCCCGGAGCTGCCCTTCACACAGATCGCTCGTGAGCCCAGAACAGACTCCAGGATATCTGCCAGAGCATGGCTGTCTTGTTCCAGTCTCCCTTTACCCAAAAAACAACTGTGAGACACAAGTGGAAGAGAAGGAGAAGTGTATTTAAGACTGATTACAGGAGGAACTTTTTCACACAAAGTGTTATGGGAACAAACTACTCAGCCATGCTCTCAAAGTTGAAACCTAGTTTCTTGCTGCGGCTGGGCAAGATCGTCAGAATGAAATGTGTCAGATGGGCTGAATGGCCCCTTCTTGCTGACAGACATTATTAAGTTCTCAGCCCTGTCCATCAGTTCCAGTAGAAACAAACCATCTGGCTCCTGCAGGTTTCTTACCACTGTTTTGATCTTTTTATTCCTGAGTTAGGATGAACTCGAGCATGGGTGGATGGATGGATTTTATGTAGATTTCTTCATAGTACCATAGATAGATTGTTTTGTTGCCCAGTGTCATTCAGTAATTGAAAGTTTATTTTTTCCTTCCAGCTCAAGGAGATGTTCCCTGGCTTTCGCCTCTCCCTTCCGCCGAAGCGCTGGTTCAAAGACAACTATGACCCAGATTTCTTAGAGGACAGGCAGCTGGGGCTGCAGGCCTTCCTACAGAACCTGGTGGCTCACAAAGACATTGCAAACTGGTATGTGGCACATTTCTCAGCAGGGCCCGCGCATTTGTTCAAGCTTAATGAAGCGCGCAGTGCGAAGCTGCAGCCGTGGCAAACAGGCCACCTGTGGGAAGCCACTTGCGGTCTGACGTTTCCTTGTTTGCTTGTTAATTCTTGTTGTGTTTCTTTCCCTGAAGCAATGCAAAGTTCTGAAAAGAAATACAGTTATCAAGCAGCCGCAAAAGTGTGTTTGCTGATGGCACTGCAAATGACAAA